TGCACAGTGCTGTAGAACAGAAGAGGGTGCTAATCACTCAGTTTCATTGCTAGTTACACATAAAGTATCTACAAGCTGTGTTTTGATAACCAAAACAAAGCTAGAAGTAATGATCCTAATACTTCAATTTTTACAATATATAATTTCTGGTCTGGAGTATTCATTGTCCTCACTTTATTTATAAAAACCTGTTCAGGCTTCTTCAAGCGAGTGTGCTAGGAAATGAGATCTTCTGTAGCAACTTTCAGTAAACCATAATATACTTTTGCACTGTAATCCAGTATACACATTCAAATAGTTTTTATGTAAGAAAAAATAAAGTTAATTAAGGCTGTTTTTTTTAAAAGTATAAATACATATATTTATAACAAAAAATCAACAAAACAATACTTAGCTTGTCTATGTGCAATGTACTCTGATATATTTTATTCTGTTCTGTTCTCAGACCTTTTTAGTTTTTATTTGCCTGTGCATTAAATTGATTGCATATCTCACTAATAGGTCATAGCCTACAGTTGAAAAATAATCCTCTGATGTGTCCTTTAAATGAAAAAGAAACAAAGCAGTAGTGCTCAGAATGGAACCAAGTGAGGTCAGCAGGACCTCAAAGGCATACATTCTGCCCAGTAAATTGGTAAATCTCAAAGCCATACAAGAAAAAAGGTCTGATACCGTTCAACCTTATGGTCATCTTGAGGCTTTTCAACCCACATCAACAGAAAGCAGCTTCTAAAGTTGTTCAGCACCCAAAGGGTGGAACTGCCCCAATGCCTTTTTTTTTTTTTTTTTTTTTAAAGATGACCGGTAAGGGGATCTTAATCCTTGACTTGGTGTTGTCAGCACCACGCTCACCCAGTGAGCTAACTGGCCATCCCTATATGGGATCCGAACCGGGGCCTTGGTTATATCAGCACCACACTCTCCCGAGTGAGCCACGGGCTGGCCCCCCAATGCCTATTTTTGAAGAGGCCATGGAGGATAGAGGCAATCTTCCAGGGAACAGAAATGAGGCACCCTACAGGAAATACATTCTGCCCAGACCAGAAATTATCATTATTCCCATTCAACAGGTTAAGACATATGCTATGAACTACTGACATTCTATTTTCTCTTCACATCATATATTGGATGCATTGACATTTGGCCTTAGGCTTCCAGATCATGATGAACTAGCTTTAGACCTGATCAAAAGAAATTCATATCACTCAGAGATCCCCAAAAAACGATCAACTTTTCAGAACTTTATTGGGTAATCCCACCACTTACTTCCTAAACAACCCCCACCTTCTTTCCTGAATAAAAATACTGAACTCCAGAATCATCAGTATCTCAATCCAATTCCACTTCATCATAATTTGAAAATCTTTAAAATATCTATCTAATGGATGGCATCTTCCCCTGTCTTCCATCATTGATGCCATTTTTAAAAAATATTTATTCAGGATTTCAATGTAATTTTAACGGGAGGAATGGGAGTTAAATGAATGAGCTCAAATTGCCATCATTTTTTTTTTCAAATTGCCATCTTGAAATGGAAGTACAGTTGGTTGATTCTTAAAGCTTTACTATTTTACTTTTAAATATCTGTTCTTAACCATTTTAATTTTTAATCTTAAATTTTTTATTTTCTTTAGTCCTTCCATAAATTTGCATTACTTTCTCCCTGTTATTTGCCTTCACTGAAATAACTGCCTTGGTAGTGGCATTAGAGAAGCTCCAAACCACAAAAAGCTGGGAAACCATCTCCCCCGCAGCTATCCTAGCAGCGGCAGCTGCTCCTTTCGTATATCTGCTAAATAATAATAATTCTATTGGTACCTTGAACTTCTGAAATGCTGCTGTTTCTTGGCTTCTTGAACCACATAGTCTCTTTATGAAAAGCCACTGTCAATGGTGTATAGCATATACAGCTGTTGGATTTGGAACAAACTGTGTCAACAATATATGCCCCTTGACAGCACATGGAGGAGTTAGGAGACCCAAGGAGTGACTCATAACTCAAAGATGCAGTCCTCACCTTGTTGAGGAATCAAATGATGCTACAGAAATTCAGAAGAGAACAAAACTCTTGGCACAACATTATCTGCCTGCCTCAGATGCAGTTAATTCTCCTATAGCAGGTTTTGCAAGTGTACCAGGTTGGTATGAAGTACTGACTGGGCTATCTTTACTAGACTCAGGGAGCTACCAGATAGAGCAGGAATAACAGCAGCACTGTTGAGATTCATTGCCCTAGTTTTCCTTCAAGACAAGTTTTAAGATGGCATATCAGGCAGCAAACTTCCCAGACTTTGCCACTGGTGGGAAAAGTCAAGCTGATTTAGAAAGTTTCACCAGCACCAGATATAAGAAGAGGTCTGGGGGCCGGCCCTGTGGCTCACTCGGGAGAGTGCGGTGCTGATAACACCAAGGCCAAGGGTTCGGATCCCACATAGGGATGGCCGGTTAGCTCACTGGGCGAGCGTGGTGCTAACACCACCAAGTCAAGGGTTAAGATCCCCTTACCGGTCATCTTTAAAAAAAAAAAAGAAGAGGTCTGGGAGAGAAAGAAGTAAGAATTTCCCAAGGCAAGAGACTATGCAATAGGGGCTGCTGTTGAACACTCACGGAACAATAACTGTAACCATATGTGCTAGAAAAGAGCCAGCATTTGGACATCTGCCTCATGGATGAACCAAAAAAAAAAAAAAAAAAAACATCATGACAACAAACAGAAAGCAGAATGTAAAGAGACTTCAGTCGTCTGTTTTCCTTCTCTGGGTGTTGCTAGAATATGCATTTAGCAGCCAAATAATAACAGTGCTGGATCATATGTATGGGCAAAGTTTTCACTTCCCAAGTTTTGCTTACCATTAATTATGATAAAACTGATGTTGCTGTTAACATTTCATACATAAGAAGTATGACTAGAAAATGAAAACTAAACCCCCAAAAAGGAAATGTGAATCAAAACAAAAATAGATGGAAAAGGGCCAAAAATCCAATCCTTTAGAAATAACATGAAAACTAAATTCATTTGATAGAAATATATTTTAAAAGTAAGGGGATCTAGGTACCCAAGAAACCAAAAGGAAAGAACGCCAAGGGGAAAAAAGGAGGCCATAGACCCTGTCGTTTCAAAGACAGGAGACTGTAGGGGAGAAAAAGTAATATCTTTTCCTCACCCATTGCAAGATTCATGGCTGATACCCATCAGGACAAAAAACCTATTAACAAGAGAAAACCATAACAAATCTATTTAATATAAGTTTTATGTTACACAGGAACCCTCAGAAATGAAGACCTGAAGACCCAGGGTGAACTGTGTATTTTTATGAACAGTCATGCAGAAGTATGATTGGAGGACAAAAGAATATGATCTAATGGCAATAAACTGGAGGAAACTTGGCAAGGCCTGTTTGTTCAGATTCTGCTTGGCCTCCAGGTGGAGGGCAGGGCCCCTCCAGAATGATGGTCTTCTGACATACTTTCAGGAGAGGTAGGTCACAGAATTTTTTTATGGCCTGCTTCAGGGGAGAAAGGTGGGAGGGCAGAGAGTGACCTTCCTGCTTCTGTAATTTTCTCAATTTCCTTCAGCTTAAAATACTCAGTCTTTTGGAGTGTCGTGTTCTGAGCCCCAGCAAGACTAAGAAGTAGTAAATCTTTTTGAGAAAGGCAGAGAACCTGGGCTTTGGTCAGAAATCCAATCTAAAATGGACTTTTTTCACTTCTTCAGATGGCCCTGTTATAACTGTCTCCAGTGATGAGTTCTAGCTTTTCTGCAGTTTCCAGTTCATCTTGCCCTTGGGCCATCAGACAAGCTGGTCAATGACACAGACCAGCAATAAAGCCAAAAAAAGCAGATGTTGTTGGACCAGAAGAAAGGTGCTGGCCAATCAATGGGATTTCCCCACCCAGAGACCACATGACCTTCGAGTGTTAATACTGCCACCATCTAAATGGAGAATAAGAACAGTCACCAAATATGGACTGCATATGACAGAAGTCCCCTTAACCTGTATTTCTTCTTGCTCACCTTGTCCATAAATTTGGGGATACCTACTCCATCATCATAGGAAAGGTTAGATCAGGTCACAGGAAGACCTGCACAGCCTCACCTTCAGATGGCATAACTGGAAAGGCAGTGGTGCACTGGCTGAGCTGGCAGAGGCCATCAGAACTAGTCAATGACAGCTATGATGAGGCAAGAATGCAGATCCAAATTCTGTAATTCAAAACGCCAAATTGCAAAAGAAAAAGGCTCAAGAGCTTGCCAAAAACTAGTTTAAATATACTCTGAATTTTTCTGTAAATAAAAGTAAAACATCCTCTTAAAACCAAACAAAAAGCTCTTGAGGCATTAGAACCGGGAAACAAAAGCAAGAATGTAACGTCCTATCCAATTCCAAAAAAAGGTGATGAAACAAAACCACACTCACACACAAAATCTTTGGATTATTTGGACCTCACTGAAAATGAATGTTTAACTTCTACAGATTGCAGAATCCACTTCCTTATGTTTTAACAAGGAGTCAGGCAGAAGCAGCAAACTTTTCATTCTGTATCACTGATTCTAATAGGAGTCAACTATCTGGACCATACGGTAAGTCTGACTTTTTTCAGTATCACAAATCATTCAGAAAAACTTCTGTAGACTCTGTGGACATTAGTGGATTATTGCTGGCCATATGAAAGAAGCTTATACTTTCAGGATGATTTGAACCAACTCAAATTGGCTTTAAAATAAAGAAACTTACTATTTCACATAACAAGAAATTGGGAAGAAGTGCAGTTCAAGTACTGGCTACTTCAGGAGCTCAACAACGTCACAAGGGATCCTCATTCTTCCTGCCCTCTGTGCTGCCACCCTCAGCACATCGTTTCTGTCCTCAAGATCATCCCCTCATCTAACAACAGGGAGAAATTAGCCATTCTTAATTACCAGGAATGTTCTATGTGACCTTCTCTTGTAGCACTGCCCCAAATTCACAAGCAGTTAGAAAGCTCTTGCGAGAAAAGAGTAGCCTCAGACATAAAGAATTCCTTTATTATAAATAATGAAAGCAGATAAAGCTGGAAAAATAAATATTCTCTTTAAACAAAAAAAATATGGCTGCCCAAAATAACACAATGGCCAGGAGTAAACTTTCTCTTCACACATTAGGACTACATTTGGAAGTCCTTCAACCTGGTAACTTTTTTTTTTTTGGCCGGCTGGCTGGTTACAGGGATCCAAACCCTTGACCTTGGTGTTATAATTGGTGTCATAACACCACACTCTAACCAAAAACCTGGTAACTTTTTATACAGAGTGTTTCATTTTTCCTAGAAACATATTACATTAATGATAATTTGTTTAAATTAATTATATTTATAATAATCATCTTTTTAATATTTAAAAACCATTAGACCACAACTTTGATCATTTGGGGATATTTCCATTTTGACTCATTGAAAAATGTCCATATATTTACATATTCTACTCTTTGGAGTAAGTCACCTCTAGATCTCTTGGATATTTCACCGTTTTCTATGAAAACGTATGTGACTTATAAGTTCTCTAAACTTCAGTATTAAGGAGTAGTTATTTATGATGTCTTTCCATATTTCGTATGTCCTTCTAAATTTGTCATAATAACTTACTTTTTTCAAGTTGAAATCTGATACACTTAAATAACTTTCTTTTTTCCATATTTCTCTCCAGGAGTCTTTGAATTTTTCCAAATAACTTTCTTTTTCAGGTTCTTCCTTCCATATTCCTTCTCCTTTTTTTATGGCTGTTAATTCAGCTTTAAGTAAGTTTCTGTGAATTGTCCAATAGATTTTAGAATCATAATTTAGCCCTTTAACAAGAACAGTTTTGCCAAGGCCTCTTCTCAAAATTTCTTCATTTAGACTCACACTAAAATATCCACCCTTGAATAAAAAATAAAAAAAAAACATAAACCAGTTATTTAAGGAAATTTATTATACCCATATATCCACAAAATCTTTATTTTTCCTTAATCTCAGAGATTTTTTATTTATTATAAGCATATTATTATTACAAATCGTGATTTTTCTTTATGCCCTTTACTCAACCTAACCCTCCCCAAGCCCCTACAACATCTTATTTACCTAAAAATCAGTCAGTCAGCAATTTAATCATCCAGAGAAAAGCCAGAAATTTAAAGCAAAAGGATCTTCAAGAGCTTAAAACAACTACTACTAAATCCAAGAATTTTATTACGAGAAGAGACCCTTGCTCAAAGTCAATAAAGTCTTTTAAACCAGAATTCTCTACAGATTCATGTATCCTAAAGCAAAGAGGCATAGAAGCAATTCATGATAAAAAGTGTTTTTTTGGTTTGTTGGTTGTTTGGAGGAATGGGACACACAAGATAGGAACAATGACAGGAGGCCACAGGAAAAGAAACTAGAGAAAACTAAAGAAACTAAAAGTAGACAAATGCAAAATAAACTGAATCCGGGCTGAACTGCTTAAATTAGGTACGGAATTACAGTCCCTAGGAGGGCACTGGCATATAAATACAATTTTTAAAGACCTGCCTCAAAATAATTAACATAAAAATAGGCCTGGGCCTTGAATCTTCATCCTTCAGGAAAGTTCATTCATACAATACCTCACTTCCTAATGAAACCAGATAAATGGGATTTTCTTTTTTTCTCCACCAACTCACAGTATAAAAGAGATCCTGTTTAGCTATGTCTACAGTCTTTGTGGGATTTTAATATAATAAGATTAATCTTTTGGATGTGTGTGTAGTGGTGGCTGACTGGTAAGGGGATCCAAACCCTTGACCTTACTGTCATAACACCGTGCTCTAACCAACTGAGTTAACTGGCCAGTCCTTAATCTTAACAAAGTATTAATAACTTAATAGCTTCATGAGACAAGTAATTAACAGTTAAATTCTAAAACTGTGAAAATTCCAAGTTTTAAACTAGGAGACGTTTTCTAAGACCATCTAAAGGAACAAAGTAATCTTTAAAAAAAATTTAAGTTAAAAAATTAACATTAAGTAAATAAAATTTGTTCCTTTAAATGCAGTAACTCGAAATTCATGATGATAAGGGGTTAGTAAATAACAGTTATATAGGGTTTATCATATTTTTCTCAATCTTTTAAATTTTGAGTTTATTTCCTTGAGCCAAAATCAGAATAACTAAAATTCAACCTCACACATTAGTAAACTTCAAACAGGAGAAGGAAATTATCACAATATTCCTATAGAATAGTTTGGTCACCTAGAAAGCAATATAAGATGAAGTGTGGGCTCCGAAACCAGGTTCTTCTACTTGGTTACCCTGACCAAGGCAACTATCTTCCCTAAGAGCCCCACCTGTAAATGGAACTAAAAACAACATCATGGGGTGGTTTTCAGGATAAGTTAAATAATATAAGCATAGCACTTAACTCAGTGTCTGCCACATAGCCAATACTCAAAATATACTATTATCATTTTAATCATCAGCACAATCATGTCCGTTTTTTGGTAATTATACTCTTCAACTTAGAGAAACTACTTTTTTTGTAAGGCCTTTGGGATGCTTAATATAATTTTGTATTATTAACTTAATTTTGACCAATTAGTTTTTAATAATTATGATTTTGAAAGAACAGAATATGATCCGGACATGCAAAATCTAATACATTTCATGAGACTTTTTATTAATTCAAAAGCACTTAAGAATTAGTTAAAATTCTAATCATTTTAATATGAAGGTTATTTCTTCATATATTCTTGTTATATAATATAAAGTCCTTTAAAAATAAGAAAACTTAGGGCCGAGCCTGTGGCGCACTCGGGAGAGTGCGGCGCTGGGAGCGCAGCAGCGCTCCCGCCACGGGTTCGGATCCTATACACGGATGACCGGTGCACTCACAGCACTCACTGGCTGAGTGCGGTGCGGCCGGTCTCAAAAAGGACAAAAAAAAAAAAAAGAAAGAAAACTTAGGCTGGCCGGTTAGGTCAATTGGTTACAGCACAGACTTACAACACCAAGGTCATGGTTTCATATCCCTGTACCAGTCAGCCACAAAAAAAAAAAAAAGAAAGAAAGAAAGAAAAATTGCTCTTAATCTAGTCTTAATAACATTGCAATCATTTTATTTTTCTATATTCCCTTTCCAGTAATCATCCACAAAAATACATCTTTAATATAGTTAGAAATCGATAAAGGGCCACAAAAAATATTACATTGTGTAATGTTGAATATACTAATTATTCTGATTTGAGCATCACATATTGCACACAGGTATTAATATTCAATGTGATATTGCACAGACATGTACAATCAATTATGTTTCAATTAAAAATAAATAAGTAAATAAATAAACATTTTACTGTTAAAAAAAGAAATCAGTCTAGATACAATTTTGTATTCTGTATTTTAAAAACTGAAGCCAAACTTTTTCTGTGTTGTTGCAGTCTTCATAATTATAATTTGAATAGCTACATATCATTGAAGTGATTATGGAATTAAAACTATCTGATGGCCCACCAAAAGAAATGTGGAGTGAGGCACATCTAAGGATTCAGAACAATGAAACTCTGTGTTATTCCCAGTTAAATAATGGCTATAACCAATCATAAAGGTAACATCTTGAGATGACCCACCAATGACCAAAAATTGCACATAAAAATGTTCAACATTAGGGCTGGCCAGTTACCTCAATTGGGCAGAGCATGGTGTTGTTAACACCAAGGTCAAGTGTTCAGATCCCCTTACCCACCAGCCACCAAAAAAAAAAAAAATGCTCAACATTCGAGTTCAAGGACATATACTAAGACATACCTATCAACAAGGTATTGGACCAGACTAAGCAATATAGGTATTTACCTTCAGAAAGTGTCCTTTGTAACCTCCAGTTGACAAGCCTCAGTCAACAAGTGGTTTCTAACAATGTAACCTAGGGTCCAGGGTCTCCTAAATGCCCAGGCAATCACCACTGTTAAACAGTCCAAAACAGGAAGTGAGCCAGTCATAACCCTTTGTTGTGAATTTCTGTTGTTGCAGGAGGCAACCAGAAGCCATGAACCATTAAATATTAAACTGCCCTTGAATATACAGGCTAAAAATGTAATAGGGGTCCCAGGGTTGAACTTGCCTCACTCTAATGTTAAAAATCTCTGCCCAAGGAGGAGCCAGGACTTCCACAAACTGCCTGTCCTTGTTTTATGTCATGGGTCAACTACTATGGGGAAGTCTCAATTTGCTACCTATGGACCGTAACCTGTACTAGTTGAGGGGTCAAGGTTTAGCCTGTGTGACAAATCCCTGAAGTCCTGCTGTTGCCCAAAGGTCACATTCTGTCTCAGGCCCAAATGCAAATTTGTCTTCAGAACTGACCAATGAACTATGTCACACAGTCAACCAATTCAAATTGAACAAGCTTATATCCTTCATTTACACGACAGGACCTCAGTGAGAACTTGGGTGGGAAGTTAGGCAGGAATTCTGGCTATATAAGGCAAGACATTTCCTTTCCCTGGTTTGGGGAGCCACTGCTTTAAGAGCGATCCCCCATGTTCTCCTTACTTGCAAGGAATAAATCCTTTTCCTCCTGCACTGGTCTTGAAGGTTTTGTGCTCTCAGAGAGATGGACACCCACAGTGCAGTAACTATCACAAGTGTGATATTATATATCCATGCACAAATAAATGTATCAAGATACTCCTTAAATTAGCAATGTCCAGAGTCATTAATAATTTGAAGGATTTTTTTTCTTAATTTTTTATTTTTATATAATAAACATATATTACATATATAAATAAAACACTAACACACAATTTATATATGAAACACCTAGTTGTCTATTTATAATCACTATTAGTAGAGTTTAAAGAGATAAAAAAATTCAGAGTCCCATTAAATATTCAAAGTTCTAATTAGTAAGTTTAACACAATTTATATATGAAACACCTAGTTGTCTATTTATAATCACTATTAGTAGGGTTTAAAGAGATAAAAAAATTCAGAGTCCCATTAAATATTCAAAGTTCTAATTAGTAAGTTTTTACATATAAATTATAAGAATAAAATATTGCTAGTTATCTCTCCACACTACTTACCTTATTCACTAAAAGGTAGCAAAAGAGCGCTGAATTCTCCTTTCCAAGAAGTTGGAACCATAGTGTTTGGGAAGGTTTTAGCTCTTTTTGTAACCACATCTTCCCAGTTTCAGTGAGTTCTACTCCAGCCAATTTAACCAGTAAAACACCATATGGCTCTTCTAAAAAAGGTTAGGTAGAAAAGAATTTAGCTTAAATAGCACATTGTAAAAGCAAATTCCAAAGTCACTTGGCCCCCGAAAAACAACTGAATATATTATGTTTATTTATAAATACCCAGATGTTCTAAATGTAGGTCCATTTATTCCTATATTCAAATTTTCTTTTAAAACAATACAAGTGTGTAACAGGTGGAGGAATTTCAAAAACCCATTTCAGAATTTTTTTTTTGCAGGTGGCCAGTACGAGGAACCCAACCAAACCTTCACCTTGGTGTTACAAGGCTGCGCTCTAACTAACTGGCCAGCCTCAAAAACCCATTTCAGGGGCCGGCCCGGTGGCGCAGTGCTACAGTGCGCCGCTTGGGAGCGCGGCGCTCCCACCGAGGGTTCGGATCCCACATACAGACCGGTTCCCGCTCACTGGCTGAGCGAGGTGCGGGTGCGACACTGAGGGTTGCGATCCCGTTGCCGGTCCCATTTCAGTAAGCTTCAGAACAGAAAGTGACATCTAACCAATATAACCTGCTTTTTTCAACCTTCCAGACTTACTTCTATACATATATACATAAAGCTATAGACATGTAATTTAATAATATGAGCCGCTACTACCAACAGAACTATAGAAAATGCTTTTTCACTTAACTTATTGAAAATGTTTTCTCATCTCAACAAATATTGATCTACATCAACATTACTATTTTTTATACATTTTGCAAAACTGACTTCCAGACAGGATTTTACCAATTTATTTTCAAAGCAACACAGTATGAAGAAGAGACAACTTTCCAAAAAGGGCTAATGGCTGACAAAAAAAAAAAATTAGTGTGTTTAAAAAAAAATTATACATTTAACATATATTGAGCTCTTAAAAACTGGTTGAAAGCATAAAGTTAAGTTCACCTAATCTCTAGGAAAAAATAATATTTGAATTCAATATGATTTCCTAAAACTAACATTATTTGATAATAGAAAAACATATTCTTTAGGATATGGGCTTCTTGAAAACTGCCCTAGGATCTCAGTTAGAGAAGCATCAAAAGGTGTGAGGATTATGCCTTTAGCAAAAACTTTGTGATAAAGTAAATATACAAATTAGATTAAAGCAGAATATATAATAAAGATTAGATTAATTCGAATCATTGGTACATGAGTTAAGGGAAACCTGAAAATTCTAATGTCTCTCTCCAATCTTTTAATGTTGCCAACCCCACCAACCATCTTCCAATAAAACATTCCATCGTCTTTCAGACCAAAGCATTTGGGACCAAAAACTTGAAGAGGATGGCCCATGAATCTAATTCAATACTGTCAATCAACCATAAGTATTAATGTCCTAAATCTTAAAATTAGAAAATTCCTCATTGAGCATTTAAAATATGATGTGGTCAATAAGAATTTAACAGTAAAACTTCCAGAAAAAAATCTACTAAGTAAGGTAAGTTATCATCATAATATATTTCCACCAAAACATTAAGAGGCTTGTGAAAAAGCAAATGTTACTTTTTGTGTGTGTGTGTATGTGTGGTGGCTGACCAGTATGGGGATTCAGACCCTTGACTCTGGTGTCATCTACACTGTTCCCTAACCAACTGAGCTAACCGACCAGCCCAAATGTTACTTTAAAAGTCTATGATTTCTAATCTCAGATTTTTTTTTAGTTTTGTATATCTATGATGTGAATCCCTCTATCTTCCCAGCCCTTCAATAAATATTTTATGCAAATGTGTTTTTAAAATCTCAATTCATACTGGATGGGAGGACACAGACGATGCTGGAAGGTTAAGAGGAAAGAGCAACACGGGCTCCAGTGGAGGAGGCCAAGAGTACTCTGTCAAAAAGGCAGGACTTGGGTTTTGCAAATGAACAAAAGAAGCAAGGGAAGGAATAGAGCACAGTGTGTCAAGTAGGGGAAAGACCATGGGCACCTGGAAAAACTGCAGACATGAATGAATACTGAAGCAAACCAACACTGAGTTTGTTATGTTTCTGCCTTATGAGATGGGTAGGAAACTTAGTCACTAAATATTTTTAAGGTTTTCAGAAAGATAATACATGATACAAATATTGATTTGCCCTAGAGTTATATACTACTACAAGTGGATTCATGACAATGGGTAACTTCATGAAACACATGATGTTGTGTCACATGGGCTTCATCTGACATATGTCAAAAACATTATATTTTACCATCAGGGATAAGAGAAGCTCTGAATAATTTCCTAACTACTCTGAAGGTTTTGTGTGTAGGTTCATGTCCATTTTGTTTGTCACTATACACTGAGACTGTAGCAATAGTGCAGGCATTCATTAAATATCTGTTGAAGGATTAAAGTGCCTACAATTTTTAAGAGGTGTGTGTGTGACTCCTCATTTAGACAGACAAAACAAAAAATTGTGAAGGGGAGAGGTTTCACAGAATAGTCGTGAGGAAGGAATCTGGGAAATCTTATAATTGTCTTATTTGATGGTGCTGGGACCCACAGATTAGAACTAGAAACAGATCACAGCTTTCCACAGCAATATATGTTCTACAACACCACACAGCCTCTACTATGAGGTAGTCATTTGAACTAAACCCTTTTGGGAAGAATGGCCTCAACTGTTAGGGCCTGAATCTTGGCCCTCTTTACCATAAAGTCAAAATTTCATTCTACAATATATGCCAGGGAGTAAAACTAGTGAAAGGAATATAAGGAACTTAAATTAATAGCTATTTTTAAATCAAGATTATGCTCTAGCATCTTATATCATTCAAAATGTTGCTTGGCCAGCAACTTCCTAGCTCTAAAAACATTTTATAGGTAAGTAGGTTTCATTTCTGAAAGTGCAAAATAATCTCTATCACATGAGCAATTTATGTCAGTCATAAAAAAGGTATTAGCACTATCATTACATTTGTAGTGGATGAGTCTCATTTGAAAGGTTTAACACATATGTCCATCTGTTTCTTTACCTTTTACATATGGAGTTCTGAACTGAATAGCACAAAAACTGTTTTCTAGCTTTGATTTCATCAATTATCAGCTAGAAGACTGTATACATGGCATTTAAACTCAATAGGCAATAAAAATAAGTGGAGAAGAAAAAGTAAGGTGGAAATTAAGGCTTTCTGAGGTTCTTTCAGCTCCAAAATTTTGTTTCTAGGTACCAAATTACCTAAACACATTATTATTTGATGTGAAACCCATTAATAATAATAAGCATATATGCATATGATGATTACAGTGCTACAGGATTGCACAACTTCAGGAAGCAGATTCCTGTTGAATATCATACCCAAAGTCCTGCAATGCACGGCCTGGACAACCACAGGTGGCGACCTTGCTGTCTAACCTCTAAAGAGTCATTACTGTTTCAAATGGGAGAGATTTAAATTACTACAACAAAAAAGAAGTTAAAGGACTTAAGAAGTGTAAATATTGCTTAGATCTGAAATAGCCAAAAAAAAAACAAACCTAGGTAATCTCTCTTTAAGGAGCAACATTCACTCAAATTGTCTAAGTTCTCTTTGGTTTGTTAAAATAATCAATCATGTCAAGTACGTTTTGGGGAAAAAAAATCAATGTTATTCCTTTACAGTTATATCTCATTGGACAGAGTGATATTCATTCATCTGGGGGTAAAAATATTAAGAATCCCTTTCTTCATATAAATAAAATAATATTAATAAGATCCTTAAATAGAACTAAATTCATTCAACAAATCTTACCAAGCCTCTATTGGCTAATAAGTATTTTTCTAGGGACAGTGAATATCAAGATAAATAAGAAAAGGTCCCTGCCCACCAGGGGCTCACAGTTTAGTGGGGGATATAAACCCAAATACTTAATAATTATAGGAAAAGGTGAATAACTACTGTAATTGCAGTGTGTATAAATTGCTGCAGGGCACAGTAAAGAAAAAGGCTAATTCTGCTTGGGAGTTAAGGAAACTTCACAAAAGAGCTGACAGTTGAGCTGGATACAAAAGCATCAGCTGGAGTTCAGTACGGCCAAGACAGGAACCAAGACACTGAAGGTGGAATCATGCCCAGGCACGTGAGAATGCATATAAGCAGCATATATATAAGCATCTATAAGGTCTATGTAGCTGGGGTCTTTAGGGTGGAGCAGGGAGAAAGGGGATTTGCAGCAGGAAAGATCTGGCTCTTGCCCACCCCTCTAATCTCTTTTGGTACCTCTCACCCCCTTGCTCTCTGTGCCTTAGCCATATAAGCCTTCATATTCTTTATCAAAAGAGTCAAGCTTATTCCCACCTATGCTCCTCCTAGCTGGCCCGCTCTAATTCTTTGGGTGTCTGATTAAATAGTAATTCTTCAATGAGGCCTCTTCTGACTACTTTATCTGTGTAGATTCCTCTACTCCTCACATGACCTCTAATAATTCTCTACCCTAGCACCCTGCTCCTTTTCTTCGTAGATCTTAGGACAATTTTTCATTTGTTCATTGTCCTTCTTCCACCTAGACTGTAAGCTGCAAGGGTTAGTGGCATCTTGTTAGTTTCACTCAGCATTGTATAGTTAGCTTAGGCCTTACACCACAATATGTGGTCAACATCTGCAGAATGAATGATTGAATGCCTGAATAAAAGACTGAGCAGTTGAATAAAAAAAAGAAGGGAAGGAAGAATGAAAACCTGGAGCCAATTAAATAATTCTTTGCATATAAGGCCAAGAATTCAGACTTTCTCTCATAGACAATGGAGGGTTACTAGGAATTAAAATAACATTTTTTGCCATTTTATAAATAAGATCTATTAAAAGAACACTATAGGACTGGGTGGTTAGCTCAGTTCGTTAGAGCATGGTGCTGATAACACCAAGGTCCAGAGTCTGATCCCTGTATAGGCCACCAAAAATAAATAAATAAATAATTTTAAAATGCATTAAAGAAAAAAAGAGAACACTATAATAGTTATTTAGTCTTATTATTCTTGCACCTTACTTACTTCTCAATGAAGATATAATAGGTAAAGTAATAGGAATATGTTCAATTTCTAAACCATTCTCAGTTATTCGGTGCAATCGTCCACGCAGTTTAACATTTCTTCTTATAAATTCTACTGGAATTTCTGAAGAGCTTGTAAATTTTGATGTCTGTTGATTTACAAGGAGAAAAATATAACCTTTTATTATTATTTTCATTTCAAAATTAAAATTGTCAAATTATTTTTAAACATTAATGAGATGTAATCATCAAAAAATTTTAATTTGTTTCTTAATTTTATATTAATACTTTAATATGATTTAATCAAAAGTATTTATAGGAACATTATTCAGAACTCATAATTCACTGTTTTGCTATTTCAAGCTATTGTATAGAGAACATTAAAAGACTCCTCACTTCTAAAAGCTTATAACCTCAGAATATGACACAATTCATCGAAGGGCAGTAATTATGTATCTGTGCCTGGAACCACACATATCTGGTTAAACAAGCACTATCCTATTCTATATATGTACAATCTATTCATGCAGGTACTGCCAGAAAAACCTAAACAAAGCTGCATTAAATTAAATTAGAATCTTAACCATCAAGATTTTTTTATCTTGTAGGAGAAAAAGGCAAATTTTTTACAAAAAGAAGAGAAAAGGTCAACATTAGGAATTTACTTTAATCTCTAACACCTAGGTAATGCCCTAGGGTTAGTCAACTTTATGCCTCTTTCTTCCACATTAACAATACTACAAGCTTCGTTCATAATCGTGACTAATTAAGAGTCTCACATAACAGAACAATAAATTAGTACCCAACTTCCTACAACAGTAAAGTCGAACTAGCCCTAGGGTTAGTCAACTTTATGCCTCTTTCTTCCACATTAACAATACTACAAGCTTCGTTCATAATCGTGACTAATTCAGAGTCTCACATAACAGAACAATAAATTAGTACCCAACTTCCTACAACAGTAAAGTCGAACTGAACATTTTTTAAAAATAAGAATAAAGTATCAGACAGATCCAGAATGTGGAATATACTATGGGATAAATGACTTAGTTTTTCTAAAAAATCAATGGTATGGGGATAAAAAGCTGTGGGGGGTTTATAGAACGAGACTTAAGATGTAACTAACAAATATATTAAATGGACCATTCAAATCCTAATTTGAACAGATAATCTATTTTAAAAAAATACCATTGTGACAATTAAGAAAATCTAGATATGGACTGGGTATTACATAATACTAAGAGATTACTGTTAAAGTTATTAGATGTAATAATATCATAGGACAAACAGACATCATGAATCTTGGTGCAATGAAGTAGAAGGTACACACCATCATTATGCTGAATCTAATAAGGACACAGACATACCCAGACTAAGGGGCGTACTACAAGACAAATGGCTTGGACTCCAAAAATCATGAGAGATAAAAATTTTTGAAAAAGTGAGGGTAATATTCTAGATTAAAGAAGACTAACAAAATATAACAACCAACACTGCATAATCCTTGACTGAATATTGGATTGGGAAAAAAATAATGATAAAGGACATTTTTGAGAAAATAAATCTGGATATGAACTGTATTTCAGATAATACTATTGCAGAAATGTTAAATTTATGAGATGTGATAATATTAATGTGGTTATGTAGGAAAATATTCTTATTCTTAGGAAGTACACTATGAAGTATTTATGGATAAAGTTTCATGATATCTGCAACTTGCTTTCAAATGGTTTCACAGAGAGAGAGCATGCACAACTGTGGCAAAATGTTATCAACTGGTTAATCTAGATGAAAGGCAAATAAATGTTACAAAATTTTTCAGAAGAAAAAGGAGAAAAAAACATTCTAGATTTGTCAGTATTTACTCAAGAATATGGAATATGCAGAATGTAAACAAAAGAGAGAAGAAATCCTGAATCAAACCACAAAGAGTGGGCCGGCCCGGTGGCGCACTGCTACAGTGCGCCGCTTGGGAAGCGCGGCAGCGCTCCCGCCGAG